GTAGTAGGTAGTAGTAGGTAGTAGTAGGTAGTAGTAGGTAGTAGTAGTAGTAGTAGTAGTAGTAGTAGTAGTAGTAGTAGTAGTCGTAGTAGTAGTAGTAGTAATAGTAGTAGTAGTGGTAGTAGTGGTAGTAGAAGTAGTAGTAGTAGTAGTAGAGAAAAACAACAGCTTTCGTCATGGAAGGCATCGTCACCACCTTGGCCACGGTTCACGCCACCCCCCACCCCCCACCACACCCCGCCCCACACATCTCCTGCCCTCCACTCTATTCAGCCATACGCTGTAGATACAAAACAAAACTTACTTCAATGAATGTAAAAGATCGTAAAAGCCCTTTGCATCCACATGGAACGTTATCATCTTGATTAGCTTGCACAGCTAGTTGAAAGAAGAGAGAATTCTTGAAAGGGAAGAAAACTCCAGGGTGCCAACACAACTTTTGGCGGAATGTGTCTTGAACAATTCAGCAAGGGATTGCTTCTGCTTCACAAAAGCAGACGTCTCGGCAATGATTTCGTCCTCGACGCAAAACAAAATGATTTTGGACTTGGGCCAAACAAGCTGTTTGGGGTCAACTCAGGTATACGGTATATGTTTACTTGAGAGAGGAGGGGGTGAACGAAAGGTAGCAGCCAATCAGGCGTAACCCTGGGGGGCCCTGACCCCCGCTCCCCCCCCTTTTCAACTCCACCCTGGCGCGGCTCTTTGTCAACGGCTACAAAACACCGTAAATACCAGTGTTTTCAGCTCCTCCAGTCTGCAAGAGTGGCCTCAAACCATGAAATCTACATGGTTTTCCGTGGCTGTCCGGCCAACAACCTCGTAAAAACCGATGGTTTTTGAAGTGTCTAGGCTTCAAACATGGTCGAAAAATTGCCAACCACCTGGAAAGATTTTGTCGGAAAGACATTTTTCGGCGGTTGGCGGCTTCTAAATGCCACCAAACGATGGTATTTACAAGGGTTTTCGCGCCTTCCCGGCACAAAACCATGTAAATTGCGATGGCTTTGGGCGATGTACGCTTCAATTTGGCCACAAAACACCTTTAATACCAGTGTTTCCAGCTCCTCCTGTTTTCAAGAGTGGCCTCAAACCACGCTATTTGCAGGATTTTTGTGGCGGAAAGTTTTTTTCTCGGCGCTTGGAGACTTCAAAGTGGCACAAACGTTGGTAACTTACACGGGCTCGTGCGGCTTCCTGGCACAAAACCTTGTAAATTGGAATGGTTTTTTGCTATGTACGCTTCAAAGTGGCCACAAAGCACCGTCAAGTCCACCCTGGCGGGGGTCTTTGTCAACAGCTACAAAACACCGTCAATACCAGTGTTTTCAGCTCCTCCAGTTTGCAAGAGTGGCCTCAAACCACGCAATGGACAGGGTTTTCTGTGGCTGTCCGGCCAAAAACCTCGTAAAAGCCGATTGTTTTTCAAGTGTCTAGGCTTCAAAAATTGTCGAAAAGTACTTGGTGCTTCGAAAAGTGTCCAGGCTTCAGTATTTGGTGCTTTGCCTCAACTTTGATCCTTTAGCAAGGGCTTCTGTTCAACAGGGGGGGGGGCCCTGACCCCCCCCGTCCCGCCCTCTAAAATGAAATGTCGGAGGGCGATTCTCAGTGAGATAGGTGTTCACTCTGGCTATAATTCATTTTTTGCTAAAGCAAAAGGAAAACTCAGGTAGCGTAACCGCTACCTTTCGTGACTTGGACTGACTCAAATAGCTGCAGGAATACATGTAGATGGCTTCTAGATACTTCTAGGCTTTCTAGAAGTCTCCCTAACTCATCATCCCCAAACGAATGACCATTAAACCGACCGTTCAACCGACGAGCGGCGGCACCGAGGTGCTCCAGCCCACGCCAATGCCCTCCGCTCCGTTCACCAGGACCATCGGAAGCACGGGACAATACCTGCAGAGCCGGCAGCTCGAACCGCAGCACGGGGGGCCGAAGGGGCTGAAGAGGGTGAGGCACTCCAAGGGGCCCCCAGCTTGTGGAACTGTTCCAAGCGGGTTTCATGGCACAAGGGTCCCGATTCAGACGCCCATCCCGTGACTTGTTTGAAGTTTGGTGCCAAACCTCTGGTGTGAAACCCGGCACAGGGCTCCACTGGCACACACTAGCCATGCTGCACACAACTGAAGAAACCTTGCTGCGTTCACTTCTTTCCGCATGCCATATGCAAGGGGAAAGTAGCCCCACAATACAAGGGCGCAAAGCGAACTTGACCGTCTGTCGACTCATTCATGCGAAACACACGGCCGCCTTAGACAAACGCAACAAGCTCACGGTATTCCTGGGCAATCTGCACTACAATGATACATGTCTATATATACGTATACAGACACTACATACATTTAAAGGCTACGGCTACTGCTTTGGATAGAGATTGCCCGGGAAGTGTCTCCCACAACCTTGCATAGCCCAGGAGCCATTTCGGCTCTATCCGCTGCCCCTCTTCCGACTGGTACTCCAGCACAGGGTCATCGTCCGGTGGGAAAAGGAAGCGAGCCGTTCTGGACAGCCTGCCCCACCCAGCCGTGACAGTGATCAAACTGTTGAATGTCCCGACTTCCCTGCTGGCCCGGCAATGAAGAGGTGAAGAGGAAAGAACAGAAGCCCGGCATCCCGTCCTTCCCATCCTGGCAACCAACAAGACGATGTTTCAACCCGGGCCAAACTACATGTCGACCTCCTGCTGTTCCCATCCAGTGCCATTCGAAACCTCCGTCAGGGTCTCTGCCTGGTGAAAATGTACCGGGCGGCTGCATGGTCCTTACCGCCCGCCATGCGCGTGCCAAACTGGCCCTGAGGCGCCAGGAGATTGATGTTGTTGCCTCAGTCTCAGGGGTCCAAGTCTTAAACAAAAAAGTCTTGGGAGGCAATTGAGCAGCCAAAAAAAGAGAATGTTTATATAAATATATATATATATATGATATATATGTGTGTGATGTTATGTAGTGCATGAGTAGTTAAATAGATAAATATATAGATACGCAATGTAGATTAGATTAGATTAGATTCGATTGGATTAGCTTAGCTTAGCTTAGCTAGCTAGATAGATAGATAGATGTTAGATTGTGCGTGCTTGTGTGTATATGTGTGTTATTGGTCCTGGTCACGCCCAAGGCCCACAGCTTGGTGCACAACGGTTATCCAAAGGCAAGCCTTCAACATCACATATCGCTTGACAACTGGTGCAGTTTCTTTCGAGTCTGCCCGGTTTGGTCTTTGTGATCTGGTTCGGTCCTTTGGTCCCAGCCCAGCTGCTGCCAACAAAGTTCTGGGCCATACCAATGATTGTGCCCTGCAGTGAAGATTCGCCATGGTGGTAGGCACTCCTTAGGTGAACCGTCATGAGGGGAGATCAATGAAAAACGTTCCCACCACCTTCCACGCGGGTGCTTTTCCACATGTGATATGCTGATATGCTGGTTTCCGTGATGTTGCAGTGTCCAATCAAAAAAATCAAACAGCGGCCATTTCAGCAAATCATATACTATACGCGCTGGATTTTAGAGAAGGCAGCTTCCGTGTCCTTTTGAAAGGTCCAATTCAAGTCATACCGCCCCAAACCACAGAGGTGACGGTGGATGCCTGGCCACGGCCGGTTCCCCCGTGTCAAAACCCGAGGCCAGTGGCTTCTCGGCGACGAAGCCCGAGAACTGCGCCACCTTGATCTCCTGAGCAGCTACACTGTGCTACAAGAAGGTCCCTACCGTAGACTCCGTACAACCCCCCTGTCTCAACATACCTGCCCCCCTGGAGGTTTCTTAAAAGTAGGGGCCCCCTAGGACCATGCTACGTTCGTACACCCCCTCCGGAAGTGCCAGCCATATGTGTCCATGCCAGTTCTGCGCTACAAGGGGAACGTGCCCCTCTAGGTTTGCCATCTCGTGTGCATTCTCCTGGTTCAGCTTCTTGAGGAAGGCGCAGTAAAGCACTTTCCGTTGCCCCGGTTTCCTCCGCGAGGTGGGAAGGGCTGGCTGGGTGGCTCAGTAGCATTCAGTAGCCGTGGCTGTTGACAACGATGTAAGTGGAAGGTGTGGTCAGAGCCAACGTGGGCTTGCGGGCTATATAGTCGCAAGAATGCACAATCTTAAAATGTCCAAGCATCTCCCTCTCTCTCTCTCTCTTACGGACTCTTTGCCCCTCCAACGGTGAACGGTTCACTGGACAGAATTGAGAGTCTTCACATCTTCTAACACTCTTTGCATCTCTCGGGCCCGGGAACGTTCTTCAAAGGCCAAGCTTCAGACCATCAACCAAGCAAGGGATTGCCCTTTCCACATCATATTTCGCCCACAGCACCAGCTCTTTCTGTACAAAGTCCTTAGCACAGGTGGAAGCCAAACGCCAAACCACCACCTGAAACCCAATGTGTTGGTCCCTCATGTCTAGATTTTCAGTTAAACAGATCCAAAGCAAATCAAAGTCCCGGAATGCCCAGCCACATTTAAGGTCAGGGTTGGCTGAGTGTGATCCACGAACTCGTTTCCCGAGCAATTGGAGATCCACTCTTTGCGTTGATCGGCCTGTCACATGGCCAAAAACCACTGGCCGAAAGGGCTGCGCAAAAAGCAAAAAACTGTTTGTGGACTTCTTGACTTTTTGTTTAAGCCTGCAAAGCCTGAGAGAATTGATTCTGATGAGTTCTGATGGTTGGGATGCCAACAACTCACCAAAACATGCCAAACAAAAACCTCGCCCTGTTTGCCCATGATCGATCTTCAAGCATTGATCTGTGCTCCTTCTTCCAGGTCGCACGCAGCATTTTCGGCGACGCATCAGGGAGGCCCTAGTGGATCCGCCAGATTCAGCTTTCCACTGCCACCGGGCCCTGCAGTTGGTAAGTCATCCAAATATGCCTGGAACGCTTCCATGGTGGCCGTGAAGTCCTTGCTTTGGGCCGCCTTCTCAAATTTGGCCACATCCTTCAAGAGTTGTCGGCTGATCTTGTCTGGTGCCATGTCTTGCCTTTGCATGGCTCCCCACTTTTCCATGGCTTTCTTCATCTTGGGAAAGGTGTCCGAGAGCCACGGATCGGCCACAGAGCCGGAGGCCTTCAGCGATTGGTAGCCATCCACAATCTTGGGTGCGTAACGTTTCCGGGCAGCGTAGAGGTCCCCCACATCCGGAATTCCATCAAGACTAGCCCAGCTTGGCTGACTGGACAACAAGATTAGATGACATAAGCCTCGTCTGGTCTGCGCCAACTGGCCCATGCTCTCGCGCCAGCATGGGCGGACTGCCTTGCAGAATGCCATGCCACCACATAGCATGGCAAGCGGCCAAAAAACAATACGGCTCTTGGCACGATTCACCATTAGCGGCCTTCTTTGGACGTCTCCGGCTAAGCCATGACCCAACGGACATGCGGTGCACACGGAGCCTAAAAAGTGGCAGATGCCGGGGACGGGCGACAGAGGGGCGACAAACCAACTGCCATTGAGAACCCCTCCCAGGCAGCCCGCCGCCTTCTTGCTGTTGAAGGCCATGTCGATAAGCGCATCATCCTTTGAATTGCGGCTTTTAGTCTGAGACAGGGGCATCCAGAAAGTGTCATATTATGTGGGCCCCCCAAAGCTCCTGATGAGATGGCATACGTTTGGCCAAGATGCGCCGTCATTGGTCAAGAAGGTGAGTTCGTGTTGCTGCAGGTCGGAGAAATATTCTTTTGCTTCAGCTGCTGTGCTGGTTCCAAGGCCCTTGTAGTACTTGCCTGAGAGAGAGAGAGGGAGGGGGGAGGGAGATCGTACGATGCTGTGCGGCTACGATAGAGAGATCAGAAGGAGTCAACGTAGCAAGTCACAGCACCCCAATAAGCAACCAATAATTCGAGATTGCCGCTAAGAAGCTGCTACTCTCCCTACTGGACCCGCACCAACAACCCATCTGGAACAAGCGGCAAGACCAGCCATGGCCATTGTTGTTCACCTGCTTCCAGGCCTCGTATTCCTGACGTCACCACAACTCCAGGCCACGCTCGGCTGGCCACTGGCCCAAGCCAGTGGAAAACCCTTCGAAAGCTGCCGTTGGATCTGACAGCGTTCCAGATCGCAGACACGGTTTTGAAAGATCAGGAAACTTCTAGAAAAAGTGCTCCCTCCAGTGGTTTTTTCTCATCGCCCCAATTCTTTTCTGCCTTCTAAAGCTTGGCTTGGAGGGTTGGTCGAACCCTCCGGCCGGCGAGGGAAAGAGTGATCCCTAGAAAAAGTGCATTCCCGCAGAACGTGTTTCTTGCATAGATGTCCACTGGGGATCCATGCTACGGGGGGCGTCAGCACCCCAAAAATAAACAATTCTGGGGGTAGCCAAGGTACTTTAGAATAAAAACAGTGGGTCCAACCCTGCCAAATTCATCATCTGACTAAGCTATCAGAATACCTCAGCGGAGGCAACTTGATGAAAAACAAATGAGCAACCCCAAGGCAAAAACATATTGATTTATTGCTTGTGACGTCGGCTCCCACTCCACCCTCATCTTGACCTATGATACGTCTGTTAAAGGCAAATGCCCAAGACTGTCGGTTCACCAAATGCCCAATTGCAATAAAATAAAATCTGCCAATCCAAAGCAAAACTCACCCTAGAACTACAACATATACATCTTTCAGTCTGCTAACCAATTCTTATTCTAAAGCTTTCTGGCTGAGCTGGGTGGCTTTTGTGGGGGGCTGGCTTGGTGCCATGCAGCAATAAAATAAAATAGAATCTGTGTATCTTCAACCTCCACCCACAAAAGACTTGTCTCTGACCTATTTTCGTATCCTGCCGGACGGTTTGACACCCGAGTTGACTCCAAAACTACCGGTTTGCTGGAGTTCAACAGCAAAAAGTGAAAACGCTAGCTACTTTGAGGTTTGCTATGTTGACCCTAATTCCTGTGTTCCTACACTAGCTTCATGGCTGATGACCTAGGGACCTTTTAACTTTTGAACAAGAAAAAACGTGAGTTTCCACTGCGAACTAATGACCGGGACGCCTTGCATCGCGCAGCCATTGTTTTGTAGTGGAAACTCAAAATTATTTGGTGGAAACTCATCCCAAGTTGAACGTGCTTGCTTTTGAAGCGTCCCTGACTATATCCGAGATAATGAAAATATAATTAACCAGTGCTGAGGTTCAAAGCCATTGTATCACGACTGATGTTAAAATAAAAAGAACTTCTCCAGCATCAGCCTCACATTCAAAAAATACATTATTTGGAACCAAGGTCCAGATCTTCCAAGCTCAGACAGCATGCGTTCACCGACCAGGTCCGAACTCGATACTCGGATCATGCGTGTCACATGCAGGCGTGAGAGAAGCAATGAGGAGCTGGATTGGAGCGCTTTTTGCGTTCTGGTGGCGAGACAACAAGCAAATAAGGAACTGCAAAAAAATGTGCCTTGTTTTCCTCTATTTTTGGAGGGGCCGACCAGTGAAACATCGTTTAAAATAGAGATCCTGTGTATTTTTTGCGCTGAAGGGGGCTGAGGTCCTACATTGTATTTTCAAAGCCCCATCCCCACTGATGTCCTTTCTAAAATAATATCTATCTGGTGACCTTGACCTCTCTACTTCTGCCACCCCTGTTCCAAGACTCCGCCAGCGTGAAGAAGCTCATCACCTCGCGGCCTCGCCAGACCTTCACAATGGGCGTCACGAACTCCCGGAGGAAACCCTCGCAGCGCAGAAGCCCGGGGAACCAATGCCTCGTCACGACTCGGCCGTGCCGACGTCGAATCAGGGGGGCTCAGAAGTTGTGGGACCTCTCCGAAAAGAAGGGGAGGTCAACACTGATTGGGGTGAACAAGTGGTGATGGCACACTCCCCGGAAGCATCCTGGAAGTGGACAACCCCGTGTATGTAGAGGAAAATGATCATCCAAGTGGCCATTGCCACTTCCATATTGATGATTCCAGGGAGTGTAGCACCACAAAATGTTTGCAAGTCCCGACACTGGCGGCACAAAGAACTAGTTGCTGCTGAAGTCGCTGAATGAAGTTGATGACCAGGCCTTTGATGTGCGAGCCATCAAAGTCCTGCCACAGGACGGACTACAGGTGGGGAGTGTGTCCAACTTCCTTCAGACCGAGGAAAATATCAAAGAAATCACCTTCACTCTCACCTATCAGCCTATCAGTGCTGTTCTTGACCGATTTGGCAAAGAAAAATCACCTGCTCAAAAAATAATCAGTCCTGATCTGTCATGATCATCAAGGAGCCATATCTCAAGCCCTTGGTGTCATCCTTGGCACCGGAACTCGATACTCGGATCATGCGTGTCACATGCAGGCGTGAGAGAAGCAATGGGGAGCTGATTGGAGCGTTTTTTTTGCGTTCTGGTGGCGAGACAACAAGCAAATAAGGAACTGCAAAAACATGTGCGGTGTTTTCTCTATTTTTGGAGGGGCCGACCAGTGAAACATCGTGCACGACGCCAATAAAATAATCAAACTAGCAGCTTGCCAAAGATGTAGCCAAAGATGTATATATATATATATAGTAACCCTGGACACATAGAACATTAAGGTGCACTAGGAAACTTTTAGAGTATTTTTGGAAGTCAACCAATAAAATATTCAGCATACCCCAGACACATACCAGACCCCGCTTATATATAAAGATTTCAAGAGTTGACAACAGACATGTCATGTCTGTCTTTCTTCAAATTCTCATCCAAACATATCCAAACAATATTCTAAGTGTTTTCCCCAATAGATATAGAATAATCTCTAATGCCCACGTGAGCATTAGGGAATATTCTACAGTACAGTAAGTGATTGCAGTTTACTATATATATATATAACAGGTTGTCAGAACTTCAGAAAGCCCGCGCCTTTTCCGACACCACATCTAAGTCAATGACTCTATCGTCTAGGATGTCTACAACAAGCCGGACAGGACTGCTCAGCCTGCCTGTTTGAGGCACACGCACCCGAAGTCTTAGGGTGGTTTTCGCACCGAAGTCTTTGGGTTTATGCAACCAAGGTTCGTACTGTTTGGAGGCATCAAAAGCCATGATCTTCATCAAGGCTTCGATCTCCTTGTTGTCCATCATCTGTTTGACCTCACTCAATGATAATAACATATAATAACAAATTGCATTTCCTCCACCCACCAAACACTAGCATCTCCACAGATCTCCCGCTTTGCATCCTGCAGGCCTGACCAGTGAACAAAAGAAAAGAAGCTCCAGCAATGGCATACCGGAATGCCCAACACCAACACCCCCATTCCGTCACAGGTACGGTCAGCTCGCGCACATTTCGCAGCTTCCCGCGCAGAGGGAAGACACCATAGTGATCCCTGCCCACCACCTGGAGGCCTGCCACATGCATGGTGGAACATGTTGTTGGCCGAAGCGGGTGGTGGGCGCTACGGACCGTTCGGAGTTGTTGTGGCATCAGGGAGTCAGTGTGAGCACCCATCAACGTCCATCACTGGATCACTAGACACGCCTATGCAATCCAATGCATCCAATACCCATCACGAGCCCTGAGGGCGGGGTTCCAATGTGAGTTGAAAATCCGAAGAAAGTCGCTAGACACCGAGATATTGTTGCAAGCATTGAAGATGAATATCAAGACTCAACAAAGGGGGAATCACAATTGATACGCTGGTCGGAAGGTACCCGAAGAAGAATGGCAGGGAACCAAAACTTGAGGCCAGGGGGAGGAGGTCGAAAGCTAGCCGAATCGCACCGGATGTACTAGTTACATAGTCGGCAAAGCAGGTAGTGAGTACATGTTCTGGGAGGAAGGTTGCTATGTACATACTTTGCGCTAAAGAATGTAAATGTGACATCGCTGACTGGGAAGGGTGCATTGGAACAACCCGGGTGCACTCGTTGGCAGGCGCGAAGATGCGTGATCGGCAAATCTGGGGGGTAAATTTACCCTCCGCTTTTGTATGCCTTGAGGGGTAAGCATTTCTGACATCATACGAACTGTACATACACTAGGGCGTCCGTAGTGTAGGAGAAGCACGGCTAAAAGGTATATGGAATAGAGTGTCTTGAGGAAATAGCCGGCTTATGGTTATTGCAAATCTGGGGGGTAAATTTACCACCCGCTTATGTATGCCTTGTGCCGGAAAGAGGAGTAAGCATTTCTGGCATCACAAGGACTGTGCATACACTAGGGCGTCCGTAGTGTAGGATAAGCACTGGTAAAAGGTATAAGGAGCAGAGTGTCTTGAGGAAATAGCCGGCTTCTGGTTATGGCAAATCTGGTGGGTAAATTTACCCCCCGCTTATGTATGCCTTGAGCCGGAACGAGGGGTAAGCATCACAAGGACTGTGTATGCTGTAGGATAAGCACTGGTAAAATGGATGTAAAAGGTATCAGGAATAGAGTGTCTTGAGGAAATAGCCTGTGTATGGTTATAGCAAGCCTGGGGAGTAAATCTACCACCCGCTTATGCATGCATTAGGTTAGAAATAGGGGTAAACAACTTGTAACAGTGAAGTACAAGTCCTATGCAGCAAGCAGCAGCCAGCAGCAGCAGCAGAAGCAGCCGCCTGCAGCCAGCAGCCAGCAGCAACCGCCAACCAGCAGCCAGACAGCAGCGCCACGCAGCAGCAGCGCAGCACCAAGCCGCAGCAGCAGCAGCAGCAGCAGCAGCACCACCGGCAGCAAGCAGCAAGCAGCAAGCAGCAGCAGCAAGCAGCAAGCAGCAAGCAGCAAGCAGCAAGCAGCAGCAGCAGCAGCGGCGTCGTCAGCAACAGCAGCAGCAGCACCAAGCCGCAACAAGTAGCAAAGCAGCAGCTACAAAAGCGGCAACCAGCGGCAGCAGCAAACAGCAGCAGCAAGCAGCAGAGCGGCAGCAGCAGCACCGTTTACACCAAGCCACCGTTTACACCCAACCAACCACGTTCACACGTTCAACCAACCCCCGCTACACGGCGCAGCTGGGAGTCGAACCGTGGGAGGGTCTGGCCCCCCCCCTCTTAGTGTGATATATCAAGCTTTAAGGCACACAGCTCATCCCACTACCAATTGCTAAAGCAAAGAAGAACTCAGCTAGCATGCTAGCTTTCGTGATGAGCGCTGTTCCAACCCACGATCTCGGCACCAGTCGGGCAGCTTTGTCCTCGATCATCACTCGCTCAAGGACTGTTCCAACATCAACAGTCAACGGTTCCACAAAGATCTCCAAGATACCTATCTATATAGAATGGAAAAGTATATAGATCCTGACTAAAAATATTTTGGAAACCGTGCGACTTTCTATTTGGGGACCACGCTCCTAATGTGAATCATGTCACCCATGGCCCAGTCAAAAAAAACTCCAGCGCACCTGCCACGGCCAAAGCCTTGGCTGAGTCACCCTCGGTGATGATCAATGTGCAGTCTTGAGAGTCTTTGGTGCCCGCCTGACACCATGAGAGTCAATGGCCTTTGAGGCAAAGGAGAGAACGAAAAAGAAGGCAACCCAACTGATGGAGTCCACTGAAGTCGCCTCTCAGCATCTACTCAAATAGTTCCAACCCTCCACATTCTAGAGCCCATATGAGGGTGAAACTCCTATCTTTTTGCAGCACGAAGAGGGTTCAACTGCCTCTCCCGCAAGCGACGTTCCCGCTGCCTTGTTTGCATCCTCCAGCTTTGGGATGCCAAACCTGCACTGGGCAAGTTTCAGGCTGCCGGTGAAAGCCACCAGCTGAATGAGCTGGATGGCACTCAAGAGCTACTCACATGATGACGCATTATGGCCAATACAACTGGTTCAGCCGACCTTTCCAATCTTAACAGGAATGGCACTCGCCCACGTTGCAAGTTGGTGACCGGGGGCAGTCTCAAACGGAAAGGTTACCTGGGCCACTACTCTTCTTCAATGATGTTGACACTAAGAAGCAACCGCTTTTGAAGGCCCAAATCGCTCTTGTTCCTTAGATGCCGGCATGCAAGAATCCCTTCCTCCCGTGTGAAAGCGGGCTGAACAGCCGTGCCCAGTTTGCGGGAAGCTGAACAGCCATGGCAAGTTTTTTCTATGAGCCCCCCCAATCAGCTGTGGCCAAAGCAATCACGTACTACTTTGGCCCCTGCTTCTCTCTTCCAAGACGTGTCATTTCACTAGAACTTCAAGTTCTGAAACTCCTTCAAATTGGAAAGAGGATGAAAGATGTCAGCATCCGAGTTTCAAGTGCCGGGCGAGCTCGCTCTTTCCCATCGCCGTTGACCTCACTCTTTCCCATGCTCACTCTACAGGCATGTGCCCATTGGTCTTCATGTCGCAGCCGGGTGCTCGTGGCATCAGTGCTTCAAGTGTACCTTTGTGTATCCACACACAAAGAAACAAGGCAACTACACTCCGAGTCATTATTTAAATATCAGCATGGAGAGGAGAAAAAAAAAACACATGTTTGCAGAGAAAATGATCTTTGAGGATGGGAGTGTAGTAGACCATGTCTGTGTTGAACAGGAATGACTTCTGGATGTGCACCTCTTCAGGCAAAATACGCACCCTCTTGGCTCAAATGCCTCTTAATCGGTCTGCCAGTCATCGTCGATGCTTTGTCGCTCAGGTGGCGGCCATTCTTTCAACGATTCGATGAGCCCACAGTCCACGATGCCCTGCAACAAATCGTCAGAGAGCTCACAGCGCGAGCCTGGCTGGGGTGCAGATCTTGAGATTGTTCACACTTCCATCAGTCAATGTTCACTGTGTCAACACATCCGTGACTTTCAGGGGGATGGCACCCGTGCCCTCCAGCCGCCCCCTTGGAACTTCTGGAATGCTTGTCTCTGTCTCTGCAGTTCTGGATGCGTTTTTTCACTCGCTGGCTGGAGCTACTAGTAGCTTCTTGTTACTAGTAGTATGGCCAGGAGCTACTAGTAGCCTCTTGCTCCTAGTAGCGATGCCCTTTGTTCCTAATAATTACGATTCAGGCCAATCTACCAAAAGCCCGGTCTCAGGCATCCCTGCGCTGTTTCGATGCTTTTACCGAACGCGGTTCCCACATGTTCCCACCATTTCCCACCCTAGACCAGGTATCTTCTTGCCTTTCTCAAGAGGTCGTTCATAGATCAACTGCCAAGGAGCCAAAGCGTTCCTTTTTGGTGGTGAGCGTCTCCTTGGTCTGGGAGTCGAAGGCCTTGGGAAACACTCGCCGAGCCTCGGAGCCCTTGTGACGACATCCGGTTCCGCTGGGCGAACCACGTACCATCAGGCGAACCACAACTTCATTCGATTCCAAACGTCTTCTGGTGTTCAACTCTTGCCGGGCCACACCAAGAGTTGTTGGGGCCGTGCAGCTCAAAATTCTTCGGACCATGAGTTCGACACGACTGCAGCTCCCAATGCAGCTCAGTTAAACCCCCGCAATGCAAAGCCGCCCAGCTGCGGGGTTTTCAATGAGGCAGTTCACGAAAATCCAGAGATGGTTCCGCACGTGCTGCGGCTTCACTGAGAGGTGTCCAGCCTGCGCCCAGCGGCCCAGCCCAAGTCGTGCTGATGAAATCCGAAAAATGGCTGGGGGGGAGGAGCCCGAAAAAGGGGTTGACCCCTGACAATCCAACAAAAGGGGCCAATGTTTTGTCCACCTTGCCAGCTATGACTTTGAAAGCTTTACAACGTCCACCGTTTCGGAGGGCTTTGAGAGTCGCCGACACAAGCAGCACAAGCAGCCACACAGACACACAGCTGAGCCTTGTCGGACTTCTGTTGACCGATCTCCTCCATGACCCGCGCGACCACCTAGATTCAATCAAGGGGCATGTGTTATCATTATCATTATCATTTGTTCATGATTGCACTACCCACCACCGCCCACCACGCAACTGCCCTCGTTTCTAGCAACTTCCAGCCTCTCCCAGCCACGGTCGGTTCGACAAGCTCAACGACACCGGGGCGCGCGTGTCCGCACGCATGTCCGCGCGTGTCCGTGTCCGCGCGCCTGCTCAGTGACGTGGTTCACATGTGTGCCTCCTCGACTGGTGCAAATGGAGTTCACGAAACTTACCTGCCACCGGCCGGTCGCCATGCAGAGTCGAGGTTTTCCAGCTGCCACCAGCCCAGGGGTCGCCGTGCAAACTGCCACTGCAGCCAGCAAATCATCACAAATTTTGCCAGCCCTTAAAACACTGCACTGCATGACGTCCTCTGAGTAGTGCACTTTTTGAATACAAGTCTTGCCTCATCCTGCCGCCAAGCGAGCTGCACTAAGCTAAGCCACAAGTCTCCAGCTCTGTTGGCTGGGAGCATTAGGTAGTGTACATCTCAAGGCCAGATTTTTCTGCTAAAGCGATCACAACTCGGACTTCGGCACTTTATCGCCCTTAATCTTCAGCAACTCCAAGGTGAAAACCAGGGCCGCATCCCCTGGGATCTTTCCCCCTGCACCGCGCTTCCCGTATGCCAACTCGGATGGGATGTAGAGTTCCCAATGGTCCCCCTCCACCATGAGTTGCAGGGCCTCGGTCCAACCGGCAATGACCTGACTGGGCTTGAAGGTGGTTGGGGCGGACCGCCGGTAGGAAGAGTCGAACTCAGAGCCATCAATCAAGGTGCCTTTGTAATGACATTCGCATGGAGAGTTTTTGGTCGGATGGTGGGTGCCATCTCCCTTCTTCAGCACCTTGTAGAGCAACCCGGAAGACAACTTCACGACACCCTCCTCTGCCTCTTTGAGCTTTAGGAATTCGGTTCCTTTCTCATCTGTTCCAAGGGTGCAGCAGAAAGCCAAAGCAAAACTCAGCCAGGACATCCGTGCCATTGGCGCTGAACTAATACCCGAAACCAGCCCGGCCTTCGAAAACTGCTTAAGCCAAGCTCTACAACAAAGGAATCCAAACTGATCAAATCAAGCAGCAGTAGACGACATATTCCAGAAATTGCAGGCCCACTGAGCCGCTTGACATATCGTTCCAACGACCGTTCCATTCCGCTCTCTTGTTTGCTGTCTATTCTCATGCTCTTAGGCCTTTACGTGCTCAAAACCTGCAAACCCGTTCGCCTTGTCCTCTGAACTCTGAACCCAGGAGCGAAAATACATGCCCCACAAACACCCACAAACATTGTATTTGCTCTTTGGACAGGTCTTCGGCAACTCCTCATGGCCACGACTACCCCCAGGAACCGAAGGCCCACCTGTCTGAAGCCGCTTCCATTGGTCAAAGCGACCGCCACCTGCCATCGATCCCCACAGGTCTCCACTCCTCAGCTGAGCCGGTCGGCGACGGGGCGACCCGGTCGGCGCAACAGGCTGCACTGTCTTCGATTGCTTGAAAACTTTGGAGCATGTCTTACTGTAAGTCTTTTAAGATCTCTTGTGTCTTGAGATGTCGGCATCTGGTCGACTGGTCGACTGAACGTCGCAGATTGGATGCCGCCAAGGATCGCCTGAAGTCATCAGACTCCAAAAACAGACCCACGTAATCCTCAAAGGACTGAACGTCCAATTGGCGCCCGTTGAGGAAGACGTGACAGCGGCCACGTGTGGAGGCCGCAATGTCGTACGCGCGCCGTTGCATTAAGGATACGATGTCCTCCTCAAGATGTGTCCTTAGGTTCGTCAAAAGACCCCAAAAAAAAAAACGAAGCAGCACTTGGCGCTCGCCACCGGACCTAGACGAAGGCCACACAGTGACGAAGACGAAGGCCTCGTACTAACTAGAGTCACTAGAGGGGTCGATTCCTGTAACAAACGGATGGATGATCATTGCGACAGGCCAAACAAACAAACAAACAAACAGAAGCAACGTCAACTGCACCAGCTTTTGCCTGATTCCTGTTTAATGTCCAGGCATACCCAGACATACCCAAACAGTCAGAGGCGACCGCCAACTTGTTGAGACCTCCCTTCCTACAGCTGCTTTCACGCCCAGCGTCATGCCAAAACGAGAAAAATCTGGCTCAAAGGAGACAGAGGTAAAATCCTGGCCTTTGCATTTGGAGATCTCCGGTGGCTCTCCTTAGGGCCAATCATCCAGTGGTCCCAAAAAAAGAAGCAACTTGGGACATGGATGAAGTGCTCCCCAATTTCAGACAAGTGTAGAAAGTCACACAAAGTCATAGTGACACAATGTGTTGCACAGGTTCCAACCAATTTGACACTCCAAAACAACGCTGATCTCGTCCCAAGGCTCTGCTCGTCATGTTTTGGTGCCACACTTGCCTTATTGCGACGAACGACAACGCCACCCGGCACCGACCCAGCGACGCTCCGAGCGGCCGATAGCGCTTCTCCCTGCTGGAGTCGGCGGTCTCCACGATGAAGCTCTTGGAGTAGATATTGGTGAGCTTTGCACCATATCCTTGGAGCATGTGGAGGTGAAAGAACTCAGTCCACACGAACTTGGGGCTGCCTCGAAATTTGGGAGGAGAAAAAAATAAAAGCAACCGACCTACCGGTCGTTTGCGCAGGAAAACGGGTGAATTCAAGGGAAAAACGGTTCATAGAATTGAGCTCCTACATGTTCCTGATGGCGCGACGTGGCCACGTCCACGTCCAGAGACGCCTTCCACGTCCAGAGACGCCAAGAGGCATCAAAGCGAATCGAGGCTGTCAGGTAGGGGGCTGGGGACCAAAACATGTCCTACCACGTCCTACCTGTCCGTATGGCTTCTGTGATGTCCATCCAAATGCGCCCACCAAGCGTCCATTCCGGCCACCCACGACCTGGCGACCCCGAAACGGCAGCCGTCTCGGTCAAGCAACACCAGCCACACAAACGCACTGTGCTCCAGCCTTCTTCTCGGAGTCATTGTAATTGTCACTGGTTAATAAGTGGCCAAAAACCAGCTCAGGCACCTTGGCTTGCGCGAACCTACTCGTACCCTGGCTTCTCCTACCTTGCTCGCTCTCGTCCACCTGTCCATCCATCTATGCTGACCCAAATATGGGCCACCTCATCCATCCATCCATCCATCCATCCATCCATCCATTCATTATCATTCATTATTCATTGTCATTCATTATCATTCATGATCGTTCATTATCATTCATATTCATTCATATTCATCCATCCATTCATTCATTCATTCGGCAAACGTGATTCAGTCTTGGTTCAGATTTCTACTTCAACCACCACATGTACTGGAGTTCTTCTTGGATCTGATTGGGGGCACCCATCTTCCCGTCGTCCCTGTGCGCCCTTGGCCGGAAACCGTTCCACAAGCTCTGGGACCTCGGGGTTTCGCCGCCCGCACTGACGGTCTCGCATCTCGGGCACGTAGCAGCCATGCTCCTTGTGGATTTCGATGGGAAGACCTTTCCCATTGTTCCAGACCTCAAAAGCCGCAACGACGTGCTCAAGGTGTCGATCAACGAGGTGATGTGAGAGAGACAAAAGAAGTGGGGGAGAAAGGGACAGACTGGAGGAAGGAACAAGTGAACTTCAAGCCAAGTCTGCTTGAGATTAGAGTTGCCATCTGCTCATGACTTCAAAATCAAAAGAACGGAAATTCCTCGACGGCTGCCTTTGGCCGATTCTGCCCTCCAAGAGGCAGAGATCCTGGACTTTGCAGTGTCAATCTCCACCCTAATGGTGTCCATGCTGGGGTCGCGGATGAGGTTATCCGCGGCATTGACAAGGATCTCCTTGGCTGGAAGAAGCTTCCGAAACAGAAACATGAGGTGTCGCCAAATTGGCACAGTGACACAAATTAATTTTGCATTTCAATGTGATCTGTTTGAATCAGTGGGCCGCTTGCAATCCCTTTTTGGCAGTTAGCCCTCATGCATGTGCAACTGGAATTTTTGGGTCCCTCGTCCGGCCTTTTGGTATTGTAATTTTTGGCGACCCTGGGACTTCCTTACTATATCACAACATTATCAACATTGTCATGACTTCACACCTTTGTCATCGATGTTCATAACATTATCATCGGCTTCATAACATTAACATGGTGCCCACAAAACTATATATCATGGTGTTCATCGTTGATGTCATCCTGGCCCCTTCATCTGTTGTCTGTGCATCTTCCTTCACATTGGAGATGGAAACTTCTTTGCGTGCCACTTCGTACATGCGCCGCAGCAAAGCACTTTGGTGCATTTTGCTTGTGCTGTTGTGTTTAGCACAGGAAGCGGCCTCTCCAGATCCGTCGATCCGGATTGCGTAAGAAGATGAACGCTAGTTTTTAGACACGTCAATTGTTCGAAAATGCTCCAAAAACATTCACAAAATACGCCATGTTGTCGCACACCCGCTCGACTCCAGCTCCCCGCTTCTCACCGTAAGTGCCAACGTTCGAAGGGTTGCAGACCTTCCAAGACCAAATTCTTCGCAACTGGACTGCATTCATGTCATCTTCCAAATGGCAACACCCCTGCTTTCATCGCCGCCCAGGGTCATCAAAGATTTTGTACAAGGCCGGAACAAAGGACAAAGGCCTGGACACCATCTGTCGCCTCGGCACAAACAACCACAGCCCTTCAGCTCAGAGCTTGTGAGACGGACACTGTCGCCGCGCATACGCGACTCCATGTGACTGTGGCTGGGAGTTCGCACAGGTTGGTTAGCTAGATTCTAGATCGTCATGTCGGCAAGCACACTAGGTCACTAGGTCGTGTAAGTCTCCGATCCTGGGCCCATGAGGAGGACCGGACCGCACCGCAAGGACGGCACTAAGAGGCTCTTCAGTCAGGATCCACTGCTCCTGATGCTGTCGCTCGACAGACCCTACGTAGCTGTCCGGCCGCAACAAGATATGCTCCAGCTGGGTCTTCTTCCTGAGTTGCACCCAAAAAAGAATTGCTGGCAGACTCAACCCAAATAAGAAAGGAGAGAGGACCACTTGGCGCGACTGCCGGCATAAGAATCATAAGAAACTCTTGACTCCTGATCAGCTTGGTGCAATTTCTTGGCATGTCTTGGCAGTAGGTGCGTCCTCTCTATGTGGGCAAGCCATTGATGTGAAGCTCTCCTTTGCGATGTTATACTTCGCGTGGAAACCCCAGATGTGTTTGTTCAGACTTCCCCTTTTTCTTGCACCACAACACCAACACATAGAAAATCCCGGACCACCATGCCACATCAAAATCATCAAACCATATCAAACCCCAGCACCAATGCATCACCAGGTCTCTGGTACGTTTGTTCCACTGTCTTTTCGCTCGACTTCGTCGTGACCCGCCGCCGTGGACTCACCGACGGCGAGGGCGAGGGCGACGGTCCCGAGGGCTTCACGGCAGACTCCGCAGGCAAGTCCGCGGTGGAAGCTGCGCTGGGCCGCTTCCTTGAGAGGGAGACCCATTTGAACAACACTCATCATGTAATGGGGTGGCTCTCCCCGTGGGAGCTAAGCCTAAGAGGTTATCACGACTGTCGGGGCAAAGGGACATTCGGTAAATTGGTTAAATCGATAGAATTTGGTAAATGTACCGTTTTGCTGCTTTACAGCGTGCTGTGGCGTCCTCCACATTTTACGGTTTTACTGCGTGCCGTTCTGGCCAGTCACTGCTCCACGCATGTGAATTCAAGCAGAGTATACTCAAAACATCAACTAAAAAAGAACTTCTCTACATGCACTATATGATACGTGACAAACTTCTCTACATGTGTCTAGATTCTAGATATACAATATAAATTCCTTGGAGTAAAGGAATCACACGTCAGCAAAGCAACTATGTCAGCACGTCCATCAATTCGACGAAAGCTGGAACGTACAGATTTAAAGTTCTTGAGCTTCTCACAAACCATTACAAGGTGCATTGAAACCCAAAGGCCATGGAGAAAATTGGTAAATTGCAAACTGGTTTAAGATTCACACATTTACCTTTCTACCGCGCGCTTCGTCACCCGAACTGCTGTTATATCTTGGGCCGCGACACCGACACCACCACAGGCTTTCTCGCAGCAAAGCCATACAGGGTGCCCTGTTCCAAGTCACTGGGTACAACCTCTTTATTTAGAGGAGCCTGTATACATTATTTATATAATGATTGATAGGTGGCTGGTGTTTCAAGAACTCCATCAGCCGGTGGTGCAGAACGTCTTCCATCAGCCATCCCAAGGCTCACCCAGCTGTCCCAAGGCTCACCCAGCAAACACGTGCCCAGTGTGGTTCCTTTTCGGCCGGGTTTCCTCGGAGCTCTTGCAGGGCTGCTGTCCTCAACGATGATGGGGTCCTCATGGTGGGCGGTGGGAGAAAACCCAAACACGGCAGCGTTAGCAGCCTCAGCTGCTTGGAACGCTCGGGCACAAGAAAAAGCATGAGGAGTGGGATAAGACGTGACGTGGCATGACCCCGGGAACTCGACGAAGCAAAAACACACCAGTCATCCGTTGCAACTGGTCATCCGTTGGAAGTCGGGACATGGAGATTCACGACGCCATACTTTCAAGATCTTTCAAGGAATCAGCCAAGCCGGTCAGCTGAAGTTGCTTCAGCCAAGCCGATCAGCTGAAGACCCTCTCCTGCGCTACCACTCGAGCTTTCTTCTGCCGCTCGAAGAAGCCTCCTTGAGTCGGTGTCCAAAAATCGAGCGCAGAACATGTGGCCTCGTAGGATCCAGACATGAACGAAAAGGGCGCGCATAACCGCGCATACCCCCATTTCGACAACTGAGGAGGAGGCAGATGCTACTAGTAGCTTCTTGTTGCTAGTAGTAATGGCCTCCAACTTACTTGCGATGGCCTCCACCTAGTTAGCGTCCTTGTTCCTAGCAGCTTCTTGTTAAGGGTCCCGTGTTTTAACAACAAACCGACATGGTCGGCTCCACATGGCTCCACTCACGCTCTTCCGCCAGGTTGCTCATCGACTCCTTCCGCGGCGGCTCTTCGGGCACGTGGGGCGGCGTGCCTCGCTTGGTGGGAACGAGTGGGATGGGAGGCATGGACAAAGATCTGCATCATGTAGTTCGATACATTTAACGCTGTGATATTGTATGCGTATACATATGTGATCATATGCGTATATGCTATATATATATATATATCATTCAGATGGGATATATCAACGAATAAACTGTGATAGACTGGCCTGCGCTTCCTAAACCGCCTCAGTGGCCGCGAGGCCCTCCTCCGACCTCCCACACGCACGTCCACCACACGAAAACGCGCCCGGATGGCCGTGCCTCTCCGTTTCTTCGGCGGACGGAGGTTGTCTGGGCGAACCTCACAAGCTTTTGGGGTCAACCCCACCAGATTCATAGGCAGATACTCAAGGGCTCTGATTCATGGAGCTGCGGCAGGAGCATTACATCAAAAAAACTCGTCGCAGGGCTTTGAGAAGACGATGCTGCTTCCAGGAAGCCCGCCCCATCCAGGAAATACAAAATACACACACACACACACGCATATATATAATATATATATATATATGTGTGTGTATATAACATAGCTATGCCAACTGTAGCACCACCCTTGGACCCTTTTCAGACAATTAGACATATTAGACTATCCAAATAATGAGCCACTGGCTTGCCGCAATCGGCACAGGCGAGGTGAATTGGACATCTTTATGACTCCTGTCGAAAATTGACCCTCCAGGTTCCAAAACAAGTGGCACGAAAGAATCCAACTGTGCAAAAAGAAACGCAAACAACGCACGCCCATGGGGGTCAAAATGATGGCGAATTCCTAAATGCAAGCGCTTGAAGGTCTCAATGTGAATCAACTACAGACCAATCCTTGGAGTTGCACCGTTTCGCCCCACCAGCACATGAGTTCGGTCTAGTAATCCAGGAAGCCCAACATTTTTGCAAGTGGATCCCATGACATTCAAATGACTCTCTCGCTGAGCAGCATTGATCTCCGTGCCATCATCCAGGCGACAGGTCCAGCGTTCCTTCTGCTTCAGCCACGCTTCCAACACCACTGACCTGGCAGTCGCTGATCAAAGGTGCCATGCAGGCGGTGGGAAGTTCATCTCTCCAAAGTGCCAATCCAGCTGGGGGCTGGAACTGCTGCCAGGTTTTTCAGTGGAGTACTGCTAGTCTTCCAACAGGCACCAAGACAGACTCCAGAATAACATGTTTAAACACGAAGCTGCTCAAATAGTTTGGCTGAAGAATCATCACTTAAGTTGCCAAAGAATCTGCCAGGCACCCCGCACGCTCAGAATCGCTAAGACAAGCGGCTTGCCATTGAGCTCCGGGCGGCCGACTAAGCCTTGCGGGTGCAAGCGCCTGTTTGCTATCATGGCCCTGTGAATTGTAGAGCTTCGCACTTGGGGGGGCCGATTAGATCAAAGGCAGCTCGGCAGACTGAGAGCTAGGCCAGGCCCTGGGCTCTCAGCTTCCTACCATGACCCCTGTCCACCTTCATGCCCAAGAGGCCGTGCAAGACAGCAGAGGCACCCGTCTTCATGGCAAGGTGGTGCCCCCTTGCCCTCTCGCCATGGCTTCCAATGGCTTGTCAATCGAACAAACTATTGCAATATTGAACCAATTAGGGGTTGGTCCAGTGCTCGATGGACCACAATGCACGATCATGAACCCCACAGACTGGTTGACCAAAGGCTTCTCCCGGTGCATGATCTTCTCATTGGAATCTGCTTCTCAAGGCTCCCAGCATGCGCTTACGTCGCAGTATATATATATATATATCC